TGCACCTCTGCCACTCGGGGAATTACCAGTGTAAGGAGAGGTAATCATTGGGAGATCACATCTGTTATTACAAGCTGTTGGCCTTTATTTTTACCGCAGCAAGGGGAAGGGATGATAGTTTCTAAAATTCAGCATCATGTGAAATCTCACACTGGGACTGCAAAGTAAAACCAAATGGTTTTACAGAATGGTTTACCAGTAGCAACAGGAAAGTAACCATCAAGATCCATCCATGGTTAATGTGCTGTAGCAAGCTTCGAGTGTGTTATCTTTGCTCTTTGTGCCATAATTCCTTCCTTCACAAAGGCACTAGCAACCTCATTAACTTACAACACTTAATGAGCCAGCCAGACCATGCAAACAAATGTTCAGTTTAGGACAAGCTTAGATCAGTATGGAGACACAATGCAGCAGTCCCTCTTTTAAGTGTGATGCATCCTTATAAAAACTTCCAATAAGCAAATTAAATCCTCTCAAAATCAAATACCCATTTTTATCTTACATTACAATTTCCACTATCCTTTCTATTCTCTTATATTCAAGCATTTAGAAACATCCAGTTTTGCCTACAGCCTGTGAAGTTATAAACTGGATTTTATTCACAGTCTTCCCTCCCACCTATGAACCCATATATTGTTCATACGTTAACACAGCATTTCGGTGATGCAAATTCAGGCTTCTGCTGCATGTCACTCCCATTGCCCCAGCTAAGATGTGTTAACCAGAGCAGAACCAGCAAAAACCTCGCCACTGCAGACACTCAGTAACACAACTCTGTTATTTGCAACATTCAGTTACACAAAACCTGTGCTATGACAAAACAAATGTATATATATTTGTGGACGCAGATCCTTGCAGATCCTACCCTACAATTTAAAGAGATACAAACACACTTGAGTGTAGCCATATTTTCCAAAGGAAAATATGTTCCATATGTTCCTGCAAAACTGAAGCAGAATCCACAGAGATTGATAGAGGGTTAATCCAAGAGGTGATCTCAGTAAGGACAGCAGAGATGGCTCTTGACTTTGATAGGAAACAACACAGAGAAGAAATAAATACATATTATTATTTAAAATAAACTCCTTAGGTATCTTCAGGACACTGCCAGCTTCTATTGCCAAAGAATCAAAATTAAGTTTTCGGATTTTTCTCTATCAAACCTTATCTAGTGAACCGAGGACTGTGAAATGTAACCATTAAATCTAAGAACTGCTATTCAGAGGCCAAACTATCAGCAAGCCCAACAGCCTTCCTCTGTCCCTCCCTTGCAGCTGGGACAAGTCCCTAGAATGCAACCAGCAGTTTGGACTACAGCTCAGATTGTCATAAAATGGGTCAGCCTGGGAGGAGGAAAAAAAAAAAAGAAATAAAGAAAAAAACACAGCAGCATTTATCTGGGTGCTAACAATGCTGAAATAGATGCAAATGACAGTGTGTGTGTTTCAGAAATAAGTTTTCATGATGAAATGAAAACCAGACTTAATGCACCTTTCTAAAATTGCATAAATGGTTTAATCACTTCTGCCGCAGTGATTTTGTATTATTGCCTGGAGTTGAAGTCAGATCAGCCACGGAAACCACAGGCACTCTGTACAGCATCCAGCAATTACTCCAGGGAGACCACAGCTTCTGTGCTTGGGGTCTCATTGAGAGCGTAACATGGTGCAGTGAGGAGAAGGCAGCTGCATTCTTACCCATCCTTTGTCAACTTATTTCAGAGGGGAGAATGGCTTAAGGCATCACTTCATATTCACCCTCATTTTACAAAATATTCTGGTATTTATTGCAACAGTGTAAAAAAAAAGTCAGTCTTAGTATGTTTTGGGTCTTTCTATAACCAGTCAGTACAGTACCAGCAGGGGTCAAGGCTCGATGGCAGACAGTACAGTTGTAACTTTGAAACAAAGAAGAAGAAATTCCAAGGCATTGTGAAGCTGCTCAAAATTCTGAAAGTAAATGTATATACTGATAGTGTGTTATAACATACTGAGTAGTTCTGTAGTACTCGGGATCGCTTTACATTTGCATATTATATACATGCAATTTAATTCATAATGAGATGCATCTCATCACTGTTAAAAAATGTTGATCACATTTGTTATCTAAGCAACCTGAAAGCATAGAGGGATTGAAATATGATAGTCTGAGTCACAGCAAAAATGGGAAAATCTAGGAAACTTGGTCCTACAAATAGATTACAGAGCTACCACTTAAGGAGCAATGTAATAACCCAAACCAAAAGTAGTTTTACCTAACACATCTGAAACATCAAACAGAATATGTATTTTATACAGAGATAAATACACATATAAAATACATACACACATTTTAAAATACACTTATTTGTAGACACATATCAATACAAATTCTATTATATATAATAAAATATTACCTATTTCAGAGCTGGTAACCATGGTCTCAGTTTTGCATAAAGACATGGAACAGTACACAAATGCCAACATGTATTTCATGTTACTGGGAAGCTCCATTCCCCTTTCAGCTAAGCAACCATGAAGCCTGGCTGCTTGAATGGATAAACCTGAATACTTCAACATCAGCTCATTTCCTGACTAGTCTAAAAGAAAACAGTCTGATCAATGTTCAAACTCAGAGCCACTATAAATTAAAGACGTAAATACATAACTTTTTCAGGTGCTAAATGATCAGTTTTTGGAGAAGCACTTCATAGATTATTTCTACCATCTTTGGAATTTAACTAAAATAATACCAAGATTTTCATATCATTACACGCTAAATTATAACAAAGTAATCTGCATTTAAATATTTCACTCCTATTAATAATATCTTATAAAATGACAGAGGGCTCCAAAATATGTAATCATGATCTGTAAAAGTTTAAGACAGATAATACATTAGTTGATTAAAAACAAATCAGTAAGCATTTGACGTTGCATAGCAATTTATTTCCAGGAGACATCTTTGCTGTAGGAAGATCTTAAGGGAGAAAGTCAGAGTTCAATAACTCCATATGAAGCACCTCATATTTTGCCGCTCATCCTCACACCAGTATGTCTCAACAGGAAGTCACAGTCAGCACAACATATGGATCCAGTCTGAGCAGGCTGCTAATCCTCAAGAGTTGCAAGACTATTTATGCTGCCCGTCATGACAGACATTTGAGCTACAGTCTTCCCTTGACTTCTCCAAAGAGAGCATAAAACGGTTTGTGTCCCAAACAATCCACAGTTTCTGAACTTGGCTTTTATTAATTTTAATTTTTTTCCCACAGAAAAAAAAATTTGTTACAAGAGAAAAATACTTACTATGTATACATAATTTCGATAAAAAACTGTCCAAGACAACAAACAGGATAAAAGGAATTGGATTCCTTAGATTTGTTATTAAATAGCTGCATGTAGGTAAGTCCATATGCCATACATGCCACTGCTAAACACCACTGTTAACAAGTAAAGCACCACCAATAATTCTTCTGTGTAACTGAAGTAACAAAGTTCAAAACTTTGAAAGGCATTAAACACCCACCTATTGTCCCATTAAATAAATAGGTAACCTTAAACATCACTGAAAGGCAGAACTACATACATCTAACTGCACTGAAATCAAAACCATTGCCAAATTAGTTATGTATTTAAACATATCTCTGAGGTACAAAACAATCCAGAAGACCTTTAGGCATCATTAGCTCTGCATTTGGCATAGTTGGAGTGTGGCAACATAATCGTGACTTTTTTTTAGCTGCAGTGATGAAGTAGAAAAACATTATTAAAATAACACACACTGCGTGTCTTACAATTCCCACCTTGTTTCTCCCCCCACAGTTAGTTTTTAAAAAGAGTTCTAAAAGCATGATTATACAGATTTATGTTGAGGTATTATTTCACATGAAATATTGCTTGTGTTGGAACAAACTCAGCTTTTCTTTCATCTTGAACACCACAGGTACTCCACAGTCCACCCACCTGTCAGTATTGAGGAGACTTAGAGATTCAACAGCCGTTAGTGATAACAGAAGTTACTCGTTCCATCTCCAAAACACAACAGTAAAACAGACACCTCTACATGCAAACACATCAGGTGCACACATGATCTCGCATTCACACACACAGCCTGCACCTTCTCCTGTTGGAGTTTTGGTTGAAGGACAGGTTATACGAAGTCAACAGCCATAATTAAGAAGCATTTCAGTGACACCTTACAAACCCTACAACCTGATCTCACAGCTCTTTTTCAGGTGAATTGCATGGGAAAGCTCATGAGGATCACAAGATTTGTACGTTTTCAGATGACTTGGTGAAAATAAGGTGGTAAGAACAAGACCTTTATCTTTCAGTAAATAGTAATGCCACCCGAGCAAATAGTTTGAAGAATTTTCAATGCCTGTTAAACCTTTTGGCCCTCTTTCTTCCACATTTGTGTATCTTCTCCTTATTTCCCCCCTCCCCTGTCATGGAAATTGTATTTAAGATTGTGTTGTATTAAATTGGATTTCCATTTACTTTAGCAGAAATAAAACCAGTGGTTTTTAAAGTAATATGAATAGAAATGTATGCTCAGAAATGCCTTTCCTTAGTCTCAAACATCTCTCAAATCTATCAACCGAGTTCAAGTATGTGGTAATTCAGAAAGCAAAAGAGCATTTTTTTAAGATTAAAACAAAACTGCACATGGTAGTTTAGCCATGGCTTGATTAAACTTCGTTTTACAAGTCAAAGGGTCATGGTGAGTGCCTGAAAATACTATACCAATTTATTCTTTCAAGGTAATTTTTTTTTTCATTTACTAAGATCAAGCGTATCAGAAATTGGAAATGCAAAGGAGGAAATAAGTCAGCAAAATAGCCACACAAATTGCTATGTAAATTCTCATTCTTCCCAGAGAACAGCTGGCACACATCCCAGCTGCAACACTTACTACATGGGCACCCTCGGAGGCTGGCGTATTAAGACACAACGGAAGCTCTAGAAATCAGGGGGACAGGAATTAAAAGAAAAAATCTTCACAAAAAGAAACACAAATTGAGGTTTTTGTTTGTTTAATAAAAGCTTGCAAGGCACATGTTTCAACTGAATTGCAACATCTACAGCAAAGCAGATCAAAATTTGTAAAACTTTCCCCCAGCCCTTTCAGGAAGTTAAACCTGTGACCTAGTTGAAAACCAAGCTGGGGTTGTGTGTGTACAAATCTGATGTAATTATGCCCTACTGTTGTCCTTCTGAGGGATATAATTGTATATCTCAGGGAACTTATTGTTTATTTTTCACAGAAGCTGGAGCTTAGACAATATTTTTGCTAGTCCACATCTGGACAAGAAATTAATCCACTTTGTTTGTAAGATATGATTATTTCAGTCACTCATTTTAATGACGCCTTTTTACAGGAACAACCACAATGTTCTCTCACATAGAAGGCTCCTTCTGTTACTTAAGGCTGCTGTGCCAATGGTGCTGCAATACAATTTTCTCTAATATAAAAAAGCAAGGTAAAAATCTTAAATGATTCTCCTAAAGTAGAATCAATTGAAGTATTAAGAATACATCTTAAAAACTATGACAAAACTAATAACAATAACTATGTCACAGTTCAAATAAAACTCAACACATTCATTTAAACATGTATAAAGGCCAACGTGCTGCAACATAGCTTTGTTTAGATGTCTGGATGGCCTTGTTTGTGGTTTTCTTAATATGTGTGTTCTACACGTAGGTATTCAAACTATGTTCTATATGGTAAGACATACATACAGCACTGCAGTAAAACACAACAGGCAGTCAAGGACAGTTAAATATTGCATCTTGGCATGGCAGTCTAAGGCATGAAGCCGAAAGCTTTGCGACTTCTTCCACCCAAGTGCAGTTGTAACCCTGAAGTTTGCTACCTGGAATGCCTTATTGCTGTTATGAAAGGATATTCATGAATCATTAACTTCAAGAGAGAAAATGACTGAAACACAGACATGTGATTCTTTGACAGTGATTCAAACAAACTTACTTTGTATAAGGAACTCTAAACTTACTTCCAAATATTACATCTACATCCATACTAGCACACAGAGGGGAGGTTCCTGCAGGCCTGCCTTGGCTCAAGTTAATTTACAAGCTTCTCTTGCTAAATGGCACTTGAAAAGCCTGAAAGAGCCCAGTGCAGTAAAACATGTACTTGTGCACAAGCAAATAAATGCAGCCTGCACTTGACCAGACACACACACACCCCCACCCCTCAACATGATGACTGTATGCCCAAAAAGGATATTTACTTTTACCCTGTACCACAGTTGTACTGGTAAATGTTTCTCTCAGTGACCACATCCCATATATTCAATAGATTTATCTGAGCATTGGTTTCAAATAAAATGTATAAGTTAACATTTTGTCAAGACTCATAGGCATAAAAATATAACTGAAAGTAAAAAACAGATTACGGACATTGACTTTTACAACAATAAAGCTTTTTTCCTTTAAATCACTCCAAAAGTGGTAATAGGTTTAAAAAAATCTCAGCACTACCTGTCAGTGTAAAGTAAGGAAGTGTATCTGCATAGAGCAGAGAAGAGTCATGCATATACACCAACATGCTGCAGTTCCTAATAATTTCAGAGTTAAAATCTCTGATCTTGCATTTTATCAACAAGTGCAGTAAGGATCGTTTTGCAGCTTTCATTTGCAGATATTTCTGTTGAAAGTTCATCCTATTTTGACAGATCCTTCATTAAAGACATCTGGGCTCTAAAGAATTATTCCCACATGCCTGATAGACTGGCCTCCAGGCCAGGTGTTACACAATTACCTAACTACAGGTAACTCTTAAGGGGTGCACAACTTCTTCTAGAACTTATGTTCTGGCTTTCTGTCCAGCTACACCTACGTTAAGCAAAGCTATCATTGCCTTTTATTGGATTTTCCATTCTCAACACAAGGACTAGGCCCAGAGTTGGAATTAAAGCATAATTCACTCTCTTGAAAGTCTATCAGTCAGCAGCAGACAAGATGATAAGAAAAATAGTTGCAGAGGAAAAGGGGGGGTCATATAACAAACACAGGTTTTAGAGGGAAGCAAAACTGCACAATACTTTCCCAGCTTTTCAAAGATCTCTGTGTAGTTGCATAATTGATACAAAAATAGCTATGAACGACTGTACCATTATTTACTAATGGTGGTGACTATAGTGTTTTAAATGACAGTTATGGCACTACCTTAATATAGCTATCTCATAATAAATTGAATGAAATGAGCATGACCTATCCCTCCCCATACACAGACACACACACACACACGCATACCTCACACACACAGAGGGGGTGAAGCCGAAGTGCAGAAGTCTCAGTAGCAAACCTAACTCTCCTGCTACACTTGCCTGAAAACAAGCACACTGTGGTATATACTGGCCCATTGTGCTGGCTGCTAAGACACACATATGCATACACACACATACACACTTAGGCATGGAAGAATCCTGAAGACAAGTTCTTTCCAAACTGAAGATCTGACCCTGTCAGCTCCTACTGCTAGGTCTAAGCCCCAGCACTTCCACCAGCATGTCTCTAACAATATAGAGATCAGTGCCTTAATCTATGGAAGTGTTGTTTAAATAAAATCTTCCTTATTCGATTTATACAAACAGTATAGCTACACATAAGATGTATAAATGTGTTTGATAAACATAGAAATGTTTACAGTGGAAGACAGGGAGAATTAAAACAATGACAATTAAAAAAACCAAACTAAATATCCAAACACTTATTTGAAAAGACTCAAGATACCAACTGCTTTTTGGCTAAAAAATAAAAGCTACATGACCTAAACGGGCTCTTGAAATAATTTTTATGCTATCACTGAGGTCTATGCACATCAGTTCTCTAACACTAAAGTTAGAAATCTCATTTACATGAAAATTAAAATGATTTAAAATGGGAAGAAAAATGTAAAAACATGGAAGACTGTCACATGTTGTAGAGACCATAAAATTGATAAATGTTCCCGTTTCCTTCAAGGATGGTATCTCTGTCTGTTGATCTGTAGTTCCAAAGAATTCCAGTTTCGTAAAAGAAAGTTGTCAGTATACTGCACGTGTGCACATATATCTGAAAAAATAACTTCCTTGATCCAAAGGAACTTTTTAAACCGAAATTCATTCAGAATAAATCCTCAGAAGGGAGCTTGCATGCTTTTTCATGACTGGAAGGATATCACAGTGTTGATTCTATATACAAAGTAGGATCTATTCCAGTACACTCGAGTAAAATAATTCACATATGGAGAATAGTTCATTTTGATTTCATGACAAAATCGTCCATATTTTGAGTAGGCATAGTTGTCATCTTCCTCACAAACCACCTGTCAGAAAGAAGACGACCTAATTAAAATACTGAAGGTAAGTGGTTACAGAATGTAACTCTGTACATTTAATTTATTTGGTATTCTGTAAATTTCATTTATGATAGACATCTAATTTCCATACTGTACAGTTCCTATAAACTGAAAATACATTCCCCTATAATTTGTTTAACCACCCAAAATAGCCTTTTTGAATTAACCCCTTTGCCAGGATAATAGACATTAAAACCAGAGTACTTCATTCACATAATAAAGAACAACACAGCAGAAATCACCCCCACACACCCGTTTACCCAGCAGTTCAAGCCTGACCCGCACAGAGCACACCAGTAATGAAGGGAAGTCTCAATTACCTTTTCCACACCAAGTAAGTTTGACACACCTATTAAAGGCACAACACACACACATATAGCCCTACAAATTCCAACCAGTTGACTTGGAAGCAAACTGCTTGTGTGTTTGAGCATCTGCTGTTTGATATTCCTGAAGTAATCTCTTCATTATTCCTTCTGAATAATGAAGAAATTTACATGATGTTAAAAAAAGGTGGTAGGACAAATTCATGAAGAAAAATCCACCAGTGGCTATAAAGATAATTTCCCTGTAATGCTAGATCGCTGGAAAATATTTGTCTTTCCTATGAGTAATCTTAAGTTCTCAGGGAGAGTCAGAAATAACATACTGGGCTAGGACTATAGGACATACTACAAGCTAGAAAGTAATACTGATCTTCTTAAACACATCCATTTAGTAAACACATCCACAGACCTGTCAACAGCATAACATCCCATCCACTGTCTCACTTTGGGAATAAGTAAATGCTGCAGTCTCTAAATACATACCCACTAGTTTGGAAAGTCTTGATAATCTTTCAATATGACTTGGACAATTTTTGTTAGCAAGCAAACTGAGAGATTTTTTTAAAGTTTCCTGAGACAACACACTATATCAACTCTCAAGAACAAACTATGTCAGTTTTCTGAAAAAAAATAAATACTTTATTCCTGTTGGCCATTCCACTAATTTTTCTACAACTACCATTTGAGGTTTCAAGTCAGCATGGACTCAGCCACGGACAGGAAGTGTAAGTGATGCTCATTACTAGGCAACCAACCTTTTTCTAAAAATACTGAAAATTCAGTTGTCTACATTTAAATATAGGTACCAGTTGTTTCATTACAGATTTAGATTACAGACATTCCTCAGAACAGATTTTAACTGAAACTCTCGCCATGAACCTCCTTTTCACCTTCTTAATCTCTCCACTATAAATAGGATAACCCATGTCACTTTTGACAATTCTAATTACACAGAAATAGTAAATGACTGGTTTTCTGTACTGACAGCACTGTGTGTGGCATTATCCAAGACAGGCTCCTTGGATTTGATTGAAGTTTTTTCCTCCCTTTGACTGAAATCATCATTGCAAGCAACAACTGCTCTGAAAAGTGCTGGGAGGTGTTCCTTCCAGTGTTAGGAATTAAAGAAGGAAGAAACTCTTCCTGATACATGAATCAAACAAAAACTCAGAAATCTGACAGTAAAACTGTGCAGCTGAAGTTAGGATTATCAGGCTTATGTGCAAGAAAGAACCATGCAGGAAGCATGGAGAGGAGAGAAGCAGCGGTATGAGGGTATGGAATCCTGAAATTGTGGTTAATTGCTTCAGAGGACATTTTAAGTGTGAAGAGGGAACAGGAACTTACTCATGCAAACACAGATCTGAGAAGAAACTGAGAGATACGTGTGTTGATTATCAATGATGGAGGTTATTCATACACACACACTCTAGTTGTGGTACAATATATTGTATACAACATGGAATAATCATAGCATACATGATTTTAGCAGCAAGGCAGGGAAAGAAAACAGATTTCAGCAATGGTAAGGAAGTTAACTGAAAAATTGATACAATATCCTTCCTGGATAAACAGGTCAGGAAACCTAAAAGTGAAAGTGACACTAGTTGTAGATTCCTGGGGAAAATACAGAGTAATCCCCCAATAACATACCACTCCCTCAAAACAAAGCAGCTAGAGGAATGTTTGCATTACAAGTTCTTTTGAAATGTGTTTCATCAAAAGTATAACTTATAAAATAATTAACACAGATGAACCGCTTAGATTTTTCCCCTAAGAATGGAATATAAGACTATATACAAGAAATGTATGTATCCTCCCCATTAAAAAAAAAAAAGGATTCAAAGCAAGGATTCACTTGGTATAGTTACTACACACTAGACTGTAATGTCAAGTAGATGCTTCAGTTCTTTCTTAGTCAGGAGACCAACTAAATGAACTAACCTGTGATTGCCTAGAAGTAACCGGTGACTCTCTCGTGTACACCTGAGAACGAGCAATGAAACTGTGAGTTTAAGGCCACTCCTGCCTTTATAAAGTCAAATTTTTTGCTGGATTCTCAGGAAGCAGATGAACAAGTGGTAATGAGATTGCTTTATAAACCCCATCTCAGTCCCTACTTCAGCAGCAAGAGCAGCACTATCAGCATTCCAAACAGACAGAGCATGGCAATGACTGAAACAGCATTCATGGTACAGTTTATACAACCAATTTTTCTACCAGATGTGGTTTAAACTATCTATTGGGGTGCTAACCTATCTGCAAGGCTGAATCAAATAGACTTGTAACGTCATTAGTACCAAACAGGCTGTACTGAACTAAATGGCAGGCTTGTCCTCATCCCAGCCAGAGTTTTAGAACTGAGTTTATCCATTTAATGATTGGCAGAAAAGCAGCACAGCTAGATACTTGTGTATTAGGAGGGATTAGGGCATTTAAATAATAACATTGGGTAAGATAACAAGTGTAAGAAACAGACAATCCAAAACTCAATTGATTACTTTTAAAATATTTAAGTCTTTGTCTACATGTCAACTACAATCGGAAAAACAAGATCAGCATTATAAGAAGATTTCTTTTTAAATTAATTATTTATGCATTCAAACATTCTTATTTTCTCACTATTACTTACATGACCATTAGCAATATCCAATAGATCTTTAACTCTGCATCCTCTTACAGGTCCCACTTCATTGCAAATTGAATCTTCTATAACCAGAAAATTGGCTTTGTAGGATGTGAGTATCTTATAAATATCCTCTGCTGACCTCTTTGAATAGATCTGATAAATCTATAAATTAAGAAAACATGTTCACGGAATGCAAAAATCAATGATAATACTGGGTCACACACACCACACACAACGATCTGCAACAACAGACCAAATGTACACACCAAGTTATGTCTGGTTCTAAAATCTCTGAAATAGGTGAAGTAGTGGCCAGCTGAATGGGAAGTATTTGTCTCTACTCATGGCAAGTTCTCATCTTACATATTTTGAGTGGCCTGAAAAGTCTTCAGAAATAATATTTTGATATTTTTTTCTGTCCAGAGTAAAGCACTGATAATTTACTTGATAATCCCTTCTGTGTCTGCTGGACTCCTATGTCCTCCTTCCTTCTAATACATTTGATTAATACACTTTCATTACATTTGGGTGAAGAGGAACACAGTTCCTGTGAAAGGCCACGTTTACGAAATTGGATACTCACATTCTCGTTTCTTTTCAGAAGATCATCATCGTTGTACAAAGGCAAACTTGACACCATCCATCCAGTACAGAGCTTAATCACACCCATGAGCTGTGGGCTGCCTGCAAACACTGCAGCCACAGGAGCCTGTCGCCTGCAAAAGCAACACCAACACACATGTCTGAGTACAGGATGCATTTCTCAAAACTATGTTCTTAATTTTATACACTGTGGGATCTTTCAAGGTGCTGTGGGATGAACTGGATCACATGGAGGTTTCATTGGGGGTCTAATTTTAGTTGGTGTTAATGTTGCAGTGGCAGTAGTTTCCTTGTCAGGAAATGTTCAGATGTGCAGCAACATGGAGTTTGAAAGGAAGGGCTTTTGCTGGGGCAAGGACTGATGGCTGTTCTCCCCTCCTTGCAATCTACAGAGCACCATTCAGAGTGGTCCTGGAATGGATCCAAGTATTGCTTTTCTGAATGGCTGTCAACTTGCGACAAAACAAGCTTGTGAGGGAAGGTAGATAGAAGGAAAAACAACATGATGTTATCTTGTATGGGAAAGATTTCTTATCATTTTTATTTGATCTCTAGAACATGCATTTCATAATCTATGAGAAAACGTCATCATACAGAACAATGTCTACACTAACTAACTATGTTTCTAGGTTTCGTTTCATTTTTTGACTATTTGTATTCCTGTTAGTGAGATAAAATAGTCATTGCCATACTTTATTACAGACTTTGGGCAACTTCTCTTGCAGGGAAGATTCAAAATAAATTTGTATTATTAGAGGGAAAATTTAAAGAAAATATACTCTAGTAATGTCATTGAATTAAAATTCCCATATGGATAGCTGAGTATATCTTTAAGGAAAAAACCCCTTTATTTTCTTTAAAAATATGAACAGCTGCTACAAATAAGGGTAGTAAAATTGCTCTTAGCTGAGTGAATCTCAATGCAATTGCCATGATTAATTATGTACTTCAAGACTAATATATGGAGACTAACATAAGAGCCATTAGGTACTTGGCATTATCCCACTTGCTGCCTTGAAGAGCTACAGCAGTGACAAACAACATATACTACCAGCAACAGCAAGAAGAAATTGGCTGGAACTCTGTAATTACCAGTCTTGCCTTTTCTGAAGATGAACAGGTTGACATTAAAGACTACATAAATACAGAAAGTAATATTCTAAAAAAATGCAGTTAAAGGTAAGTTATCTGAACACAAGGGATCTAATTTTCAGAGAAGTACAGTTCCTAATAATGACACAGTACAAATTTAGATTGAATGAGGCCAGAATGCATTTCTGAATCTTCTGGTGAGAGGAAAAATCTATCTGTGAAAATAACTTGGTATTAGCCATGTATACACTCAGTATAAACTACATAACATAGCTCAGCTCTTGCTGTGCCCTGCCTAGGCAGACTGGTAAGAACCCTTCCAGGATCCAGGTCACAGGGGAAGTCTGAATCATACATGTTCCTCTCCACGTATCCTGACAAAGTCTTTAAACCCTCACATTCAGGCATTTCATTTGACTGGCTCATGCACGTAAAAATTTAGTGTTTCTGTCCCTCACTGGTGTTACAATCAGCATGAATCCTCAAATCCCATGAAAAGTTAACATGCAAAAAAACAAGCACTAAGATGTCCACCTTTATTTGGAAACTAGGTCTCACGATGATATGATTTGCTTGCGTGTTTCAGGATCTTCTACTGTAATCAATGACAAACTCCTGTTTCTTTCCATGGGAATAATAACAAACTTAAAATACACATTTCTCCCCCCATGGAGATAGACAGAGGTATCTTTGTCTATCAGCTTCACAAACTGCTGAGGTAAAAATACCCTGACAAAAAGCAGTAAAATAGAAATGTAGGACTTCTTGCTTACTTTATCCATGTCATAAGTTCTACTGTATCAGGATCATAGAATTCTTGCAGTTCTGTAAGCTCTGTCATTATCCTAGGGAAAAACTGATGGAAATGTTTCTGGTTACTTACAGTAAAAAAAAATATCTACAGAGCATCTGATTATATTAAGGCCTTAAGTGACAAAACAAAAATGGGCTTCAACTGACTTTTCCCTCCTGACTGGTACTTTTATTTGAATATTTTGCAAAACATAGTTTATACTTAACGTGACAGCAGGAGACCCTCTCCAAAATAAATATGTTAAACACAAGTTCTCATCTCTCTCTCTTTCATTAGAATACTTAAAATTAAAAACTAAATAAACAAATAAATAAACACACAGCAAAAACATTCATCAATGTTAAGTGACCTTAAATGCATCAAAACCATAGCTCAGGTTGTCACATGCAAATGTACATAAATGATGGCACTGAACCAAGAAGATGATAAATCTCTCATGGTAAACCTCCTTGAGCAGGAGGGGTTGGACTGTTGTGAGTTGATGGAGAAGTGTTATTCAAGTAGGACAGGAGAACAGAAATTTCCTAGAAGGGCCCTGGTAATCTGCCCCAGACTTCCTTCTGACTTCAATCACTACAGTGAAGAAGATTACACTGTACTGTATGAAGTAGGATATCTCTCAGTTTATGCTCTTGAAAAGCATTTTGGGAAAAGGAGGGATTTTGTGAAGTGAGACAAAATGCCATCTGTTTCAAACCAGACCAGACTGCAACCCTGCACCATGGCTTCCCTATCCTGTCAGGTTTGAGGGCTAAAGGAACAACAGGTCCTTTATTAAGCCAGCTGATTTTGTCAGTCCTTGAGCCATTAGGAGCATTTATCTGAGAAAGGCATGGCTGGAAGCTGTCCAGCCACAAGAGGCTGGAGCATGTACATGTACATGCTGGTGTAAATGCTAACTGAAAACTACCTTATGTCAGCCCTTTTGGAAAATAGATAAAAAGTTTACAAGTTATGCCGGACCAAAGGAACAACTTACTTTGGGACAGCCACAGTGGATAGTAAGAAGTGGGAGCCTGCTTTCAGCTGAGGCATTTCCACTCCCATTACCTGGACAACTCAGCTGTCAAGTGATAGCATTCTACAACCAGACATGTTAGAGTTGCACAAGAACAGCTGCCACGTGTTTGTGTCAGGACTGAAAGCTGTAGCACTGCTGTTATACACACCCCCAAACTATTCCTAGAACAGATCGATAGAAAGAGGAACCAGTACTGCCACTCCAAGGAGAACCCACTTGGCTCAGCAATCACAGCCCTGCAAAAACCTGGTTAGATGAGGGATTGTGCTAGACTGAGTCAGAAAGCAGCCAAGCAGAAAGATGCTGAGCTGTACACTCAGCTGTACACACATAGCCACAGTAACAGATTAGGGGTCTCAAGGCATTTGCACTGTTCTGTTACTACTAATCAAAGTTTCCAAGCTCAGGGATAAGTTATGAAAATCTGGAGAGCAAACTGTTCACCATTGCTTAAAAGCAGCAACTGGATCTGCAATGGCTGAAGCCCTCTAGAGTCCAAACCCCTATACTGCTTTCATTAAAAAAATCTGAAAAAGAGTTATTTGGTCAACTAAACTAGTTTCCTCTGTTGTAAAAGAATTCATAATTCTATTGAGCAATGGTAGCATTTTTCAGGAAAATATCTATTGCTCCATCAAAAATGTGTAAAAGGTCAGATTACATTGCAATCAAACTTTCTATTATAAGACAGACGTTACAAAACCTGTTCAAATACTGTTGGCCAAGTCTGGCTTCTATATTTGAATTCTTATAAAACTATTCAAACTAACTATTTTGAAGCTATGTCAGTATAACAGAGGGTTATACTTTATGGAATGTTTCCCATGTTTTTTAGACTCACAGAAATTTAAAAAGTAATTTCCAAACACTCTCCTCCCAGTCCATCTGTGACTTGCAATAAAGAACTAAGTGTTTATTTTAAACATGGAAACATCTGTAAATTTTCTTCCCTGTACTGTTGTATATACACACCTCTACACAGTGCTCTGCACAAAGGATTTAACTCCATTATAATTTGATGGGAACTTTTCAAACTGATTATTTACATATGGTCTCCCATAATTTTATTTCATCTAAACTCACTCCCTCTCACTAAAACCAAGATTGGGACAACACATTTTTCAATATTTTAAGATTTTATTTGTTAGTATTTTGTTTGTTGAGTCAGTTTATATATCCAAAGCATAATAGCTGAATATAACATTTAAATTTAAATTTAAATTTAAAAATTTCTTTATTACAATAAGTAAGCATTGACAAACTAAATTGTCAAATACCTCATACTGAAAAAAGTAAACAGTTTTGTTTAAAAACAAAACATATTTTCAGTGGATGACAACTTCAATTGCATTATATATATTTCATTTCACTAAGTATATTATATTTGCTCATCATTTTGACTCATGTGCTTACATACAAAAAAAAACAACAAACCAAAAAAACCTTCACAAAGGTACTTTTCTTACCTCTTTCCACAAGCTGAATCCAATTATTGTGGGAACTGCCATACTCAGAATAAGAGCCTAGAAAGTACATGTTAGAAGAAACAGATTATGCACCGTTCTCCAACCTTGAGGTGTCTGTTGATTCTACTCATATAGTAAGCAACATTTATGCCTGAAACCTTAGAGTGACAGTAGGTGAAACTTAGTGGGGTTTTGCCAAGCAAAAAACTCTCTGCAAAGAAGAATTTACATAATTTAGCATAGATGAATTAATTTGACCATGATAACTTTACCATCAATTTTAGGAATGGTAAATAACAATGATGTAGGGAACAGAAGAAAAGTAAATACCTCACATTCAAATGCAATGAGAAAATCTGAGACAGGAAAAACCCAAGCATTTCAAACTTCTGCTCTTGTTGATGCTTTTGTTCAGATTAACAATATTGATATGCAAAACCCAGAAACCCATTTTTTCAGCACACCATCATTCTAGCTGATCTAATTTTTGCTTTGCAAAAAGGTGAAAATAGCTTGTATGGTACAAGAAACATTTGTTAAGGAACACACAGAAGGCATTCCCCTGACAACAAGCTACTAACACACCTACTGTGTTAATAGTAAAAAAGCAGGTCTATATAACAGAATGCATGAGTACACAAAAGAATGTGCTTACCATGTACATGAACATATTGGTACTCCTTGATTGAAAGAACACTGTCAATGTTTCTGATATAACAGAATTGTAACAGCATTTTCACAAGTGACACTGTGAACCTCTAAGCATAATATATTTATTCCTATAAGCTTCTTGAATTTAAGGTAAGTAATATCCTATCCTTATTTTATTAATAAAACTAATGCACAAAGCTGCTAAAAATCACACAAAGCAACTCTTGTCATATTGAGAATAAAGTTAGGGTTGGAAGCGGGGGAGTTGTTTGCACTGTAACACAAGCTCATCTTCAGTCACACCATTTCTCTACAATGGCCACAGGTAAACAAATCTTACACAAAGTAATTCCACTTATCATTTCTTACAAAGCAGCTTTACTCTCAGCAAGTAAATACATCTTAATATCACATTTTAAGATTAATTTCTTAGTAAAACAAGGCTTATATCAATGCTTGCCTGCATACCTGTGCTGTTTTCTCCTGCATTCCTCCTAAAAAGCACATGACCTTCTTGGCCAATCTCAACTAGATATGACAGAGAGACTGAGGTCTCCAAGATTTGTTAAAAGAAATTAAAGAGATGAGCAAAAGGAAGATGAAGACAGCTCTGCTTCTTGTGAGGAAAGGCTGCAGTGTGAACACAACTTTATCACCAGGTACCAGACAACAAGTGCAACAGTGATATTATGAATGAAAGACACAGAGAAAGCAGACTATATGAGACCCACTGCTTACAGAACAACATGTTCTTCTCATGGGCTCTTCTACTGGTCTTAGTTAACTGTTTGCAAAGTTATATGCTTGCTACCTATATTTCCCAGGACACTGGCAACAGTAACTCACCAGTAGTATGGGGTGCACAGCTTTCAGTCGAAGCCACTTGAAAAGTGTCATCCAAAGTTCAGGAGAACACACCCCAAATGCAGCAAGCATGCAAACATAAGGTGTCCATAGATATTTCATTCTGAAAAACACTGCAATAACTTAGTTGGGACTCTGTGCATGCCTCTGCACTCAAGCTATTTATAAAAAACATTTAGATGTTTTTCACATGCCAAACACCGTCTGGATGTTCAAGTAATCTGAGGTCAACTTTGATGGCACTGAAGGGTAAACCAAGGAAATCTCTAGCAGAAGAGCAGGCACCTGACTATCTGCTGTGAGATGGAGGAGCAAGATCCAAGGTAAAAGATGACAAAATCCTTCACAGAGTTCAGGGGAGGATGAAAGAAAAACAAAGGGAATAGTAAAGTCACTTGGCTGTTGTGGTTTTCCAGCCAAGAAAGGACAAAAAGCAGCGATTCAGCAAAGCTGCACAGATAATGTACTATAAGAGTTCCTGAAGAAAGGAAAGGAAAATATTTAATAAACAATTTATGATTTGCTGGTGTTGTCTGCCTCTTAAGAGTAGACTAGTCAGCTCAACTACACAATAACACAACAGTCTGCTCACTTTAAGAATTTGTGAGTATTTAGATTTTAGGATGATGAGCATAATACAAATACAAGACACCTTCAAGCTGATTAAGCTGAGAGACAAGATTAGAATAATGTCTTCCAAACATCAGCTTCTGTAGCTTTAAGAACTAACACAATACTTTTGAAATTAGTTTTTCTACTGCTTTAACATGTCAAGCAAAGGTATACTTTGTGGTAGCCTACACACAAGAAGACAGATAAGAAATCTTCTACATGCCAGTATTCCAGAACTACTCTGTTCATCAAAACACTACACAAGATCTTGCTAGAATACAATATTAAAAATAATTATAGCAACGTTCTACACTTAAATACCGCAAAGAAAGTTATTAAAATGTAATTAAATTCAAGTCTTGGATTTTGGCTACATTAAAGCTTCAAAAACATGTTAAAGAGACTAAGAACAATTGTATCAAATTTATAATCACAATTATCACTGACTGCTCCTCTACTAACTAGTACCACTACATGCCAAAATTATTTCTGAAAAGGGGTAAATTTCAAAGGGGTGAATGGTGTATCATGTCCAATTAGGAACTCTCTGTTGCTTTCAAAAGAGATACATTAAAATCAGACTTACCCTTCTAAACACATTGCTAGACAACCAAGCAAAATTGTGTGAATGACATGATAAACTATTTCTGGCCTCTCTCCAATTCGACCATCCTCAAGTTTAACTGCTTCTTTCAGTGGTTCACCACTGCAGTTGGAGAAAATGAGATATCACTTAATTCAGACATTACCTCAGGCAAAGGTGTCAATAAAAATACATTTAAGTCAGTAGTACACTGAGATCATATTGTGTCATATCATACAATACAGTTGCACTGTTTACTTGGTTTTTGTATGCAATCAATGATCTATCAGTACCTACTGTCCCTTGTTTTGGATTGCAACCTCTCTGGAGCAATGGCTGCAAATTGTTACAATGGGATCACTGTCTATGACCCTTAATCCTATTTTAAGGTAATTCAGCACAAGAGGCAGTCTAATTTAAGAGCAGGCAGACTCCACAAACATTTAGATGAAGCATGCTGAACGTGCATTTAAAGTTTCTTCATATCACTAGGTTGGTGAAGAATTATGGAATCTGTAGGATAATTGTGTTTGGAATGTGTATACCATTTTATGACAAAGAAAGATAATGAAAGTAGCTTTGAGTCACATATTCTAAATTCTAACAATATATTATAACTAAAAATCACAACCAAAATCTTACAACAAATGTTTTTCTACAAACAAGATAGCAATGCATAAGATAGGTAACATATTTTTCTACCATATGATTTCAGGTTAGAATTTTATAATAAACTTCCTCATGACAAATGGAAAAATAGTTTGAGATTATTAATTGATTCAAAATTTGAAAAAAAAATGAGGGGGGAGAAGGTTTATATTAAGTTTTTCTTTAAAAAGGTGTTGGACATAGTGTAGTCGTTGCTTATTATAAAGTAGTAAATAGCTATTTCAACCACTAGCAAACAATCAGAAGTTTGCTTCATTGTTTTGAATATACCAGCATACATCTGACCTGACATTTTCATTCACAGCAGCATAATTTTTATCTATTAGAAATCTTCATTCTTGAAATAAACCTACTGATTTTTGCTGCAGACAAGTGAACAATTTGTTCTAATACCTGAGCAGTTACACCGTTCATCTTCTACCAGGTAAAGATAATTTCCTAGTCATTGAGTTTCCAAGACAAGCTACAGTAGGATCTACAGTTGCTATTCTTAGTCTGTAAACAGACAGCTCCACTACCCCTTCTCTCAAGGGAACTGTGACTGTGAATCACTGTGAAACTAAAAATAATTGAGTTGGTTTTACTTCAGCTCTGTTCTCAGCAGCAAAAGCTGATGGACCCTATCACAATAAGCCAGCATTTTAAAAAACAAACAGTGAAGCATTAGAAATCACAAATCCTCTCAACTCCACCTGTCTCATTCTTCTCAACATGTAAACTTGAAAAAGACAAAACCAAAAAACCCAAACCCAAAAGAGAAAAAAAATTCTAGTAACAATCAGGTAGCTTTGCTGTTGGAACTGTAGCACAGATATAACATTTTTCTCTCTGGCAATGGGAAGAGACATACGTATATCCCAAAACAGAGTTCTGCAGGAATTGCACCTATGGGGAAACAAACCAATGACAACTCCCTGTCCTGACTGGAGGGATGCTCAAGAAGCTCCTCACTAAAGGACTTTTCTTTAGGAGGCTCTGGTGGGCCTTCCCACTGGTGCTCACACCCTGACAAGCTCAATGGTAGAACAAATTTTGGAGCAACAAACACGATAACCATTCCCTTAGACATCAAGGAAACTCTTATTTTTAACTTATTTTTTAGTATAAATAAGCTACTTACCAAATTCTCCTAAAAATGACCTGAGTTACAGAAAAAAGGCAAATAATTAATACTAAAATATAAAAAGGCAACAGTGATGACTGTGTTAGTCGCAAAAAAAAGTCTTGGGAAGGTGCCTGAAGAGATTCTTGACAAAGGAGCCAATTCATTGTAAAATTCCTAGTAAGGCAAAAACATCCCATTAAAGACAGTAACAATACCCCACAGATTAAAAAAAAAAACCACCCAGCACTCAACCAATTGTAGTTTAACCTACTCATGTCATAGGAAACTATTTTAAACACATCTTTGAAAAGTTAACTTTTTATCATTTGAAACTGCTTTGCAATACTGTTTAGAGTAACTGTCAAAAGCTTATCTTCCCAAAAATTATCTGTGATGTGAAGAGACCAGGCTACAACTCTTCCATAGCACAAAAGCCCAAACTCCCATATAACTCCATTATGGAAACCACAAAGCACTTCATTGTCACAGTGGATTAAGATTTTAGAGATACTGATGCAAGAAGGTATGCTTGTTCTCATTTCAAACAAGGAGATGAAGAAGGAAAAGTGGTCATCTGAGATCACAAACAAGCCTGAGGCACTGCCAAGAATAGAATCCTTAATGTTGAAATTCTAGTTCTGTAGCCGAACATACTTGATCATTCTTCTTTCTCAATTAACGAGCAGGAAGATTATATAGTCTGCCAATAAGCACAACCAGTCATATTCTCAAGTGGAACTGGTGCAGCATGTGGTTCTGTGAATGCATTCTTCTCTTACTTTGTTTCGCTTCTCTCCCTCCTTTTATTTTCCCCCAAGGGAAGACTAGAGGACAGAATCACTTTCAATTAGATGCAATAAATTTAAAGATTAACAGCTAGGTATGTCCGAACTGGCCCTAAAAGACAGATCTTGAAGCTCTTGTGCAGCAAACCATAATTTCAACTCACAGTTACACAGTGCTCTAGGTGTAATTGCACCCAGTTTGTCTCAGTCTCTGGCTTCATTGCAGGGTTTGACAGCTTGAAAACTGACATGTAGCAAGTCCGCAGGGGAAAAAAAAGAAAATCTGTAACACTTGGTAGCTGAATAAACTGAAATCCTGACCAAGAGTCCTTTATTTTCTTGCAAAACACTCAAGAATGAGGATGTGTTGTGTGTTTAAAAAATGCATCTTAGCCAACGTCACTACATCTCATCTTCCAAAAAATCCCCAACAATTTCAGTTGTGTGTGACATCATTTTCCACTTCTTCCCCTGAAAGGCTGTGAAGCAGTTTTGTAAGAGAGATGCAGCTTCCAGGCGAGAGTTCCAACTCCTGCACAGAATTGCAAGTCTTGGCTTGCATCCAGGAGGTGTCTCAGTCTTTACTAATACTCCATTGGAAGTTTTCCAGAAAATCTGTAGCCATGAACATCTTCTTGTAGAACAACATTCAACTCTTTTACAGACACTAATGTTTTTTCTTAGAATCACAATTCCTTCTGACTTTTAGGGTGTCCCTTGTCCTAATTTCTTCCAAAACATACAGCGGGGTTTCAGGGGCACCCCATAAAGCAAGCATGTTTGGATAGCATTGATAGTTCATGAACTCTTTACAGAGCCTTTTCTTTTCCAGGCTATAAAAAGCTATTACTGCCACCTTTACGTTATTATCTTTGCTTTCAAGTCTAGAAACACTAGACAGGCTACAGAAAGTTTTCACTCTTCAACATCACAAGAGAAGAAAAATCCATGAAATGCTTTCACCTCAAGGTATGAAAAATAGTGAGGTGCCTTGGAAATCTCAAAATCCTAAGTCAATTCTGTATATTTTTAAATTCAATATTAAAACTGTTTCTCTAGCTCCTCTGTAAAATTGTCACAAGACATTGAAATTTTACACTTCTCAGAGCAGCCTCAGATGTTTGGATATCTTGGGAGGTGTAAAGAGTTTAAAAAACTTACTTAGTTGTGTTTAATCCAAGTTTTACTTCAATGAACTTCAGCAAATGCTCATTTTCTTTATGAGGAACAAACATCTGAAAATTAATTTAGCAGAGAAAAATCATATGAAATGCTGGAAGCAGCTTTCACATAGTCATTCAGATCATAAAATGTCAGGAAACAATAAACTATTCAAGATTTAGCTAAAACTAACAAAGTGGATTAAGTGTGACAATTAAGAATCACAGAATTAATTAGGTTGGAAAACACCTCTGAGATCATCGAGTCCAATCTCTGACCAAACACCACCCTGTCAACTAGACCGTGGTACTAAGTGCAACATCCAGTCTTTCCTTAAACAGCCCCGGGGACGGTGATCCCACCACCTCCCTGGGCAGCCCACTACAATGCCCAATCACTTTCTCTGTGAAGAACTTTTTCCTAATGTTCAACCTAAACCTCCCCTGGTGCATCTTATGACTCTGTCCCCTTGTCCTAATGCTGGCTGCCTGGGAGAAGAGACCGACCCCCACCTGGCTACACCCTCCTTTCAGGCAGTTGTAGAGAGTGACAAGGTCTCCCCTGAGCCTCCTCTTCTCCAGGTTGAACAACCCCAGCTCCCTCAGCCACTTCTCATAGGACTACGTACTGGTATAGTATTGTAAATGTTCACTTCAGTAAATCTATCTTTAGGGTTTCCTTCAGAATATTCTCTTCATTTTGTTCATGTACTCCAACAGGAGGGCCAGTGAAAAGCTGACAATAAGTTGCCCAAAGACTACTGAGCAGTGTAAAAAGGATCATGAAAAACAGACACAGACTTACTCCCAAGGAAGTCAAAGAGTGCTGCGCTTGGCTCCACTGGAAAATAGGACTGCAGCTTAGCAAAAGTTATGAGCATTTGTAATTTTCACAGAGATTGTCTGAGCAGCCTAAAGTTCTGCAACTTAACTCGTAACTGTAATTTAACTCGTAGTTTTCAAGGTTAGGTTTTATTCTCCTGGAGATACAGCAAGGCTAGTCAATCTGACTGGCCCAAGAAAACAATCATATCTGAGCATTCTTTCAAACTTTTTAGGTTTCACTAGTTTCTTTAGTTTTAAGTCAATACTGTTAATTAATACAGCCAAGGTGAGTTTGAAACATAAAGGAAAAGCACAATAAAATATGTAAAAGACTAGAGCCAGCAAGAGGGAATTGCTAATTAAAATATAAGACCAAGTTAAAATCCTATTGTGCTAACTCAACTCCTAGCTGACCCCTACACAAAGTGAAAGTCTCTGTTCCCATGTTCTACTTGAAATTTAATTGAAATTATCTACCCTGAGACTAATCACACTTGTTCCTTGCTACTGTGCCTCCATGCACAAGAATATTGTTTTAATATTTAGACCAGTTCATAGGGCCCATCCAAGTTATAACAAAACCCATATATATAAAAAAGATAAAGTGTGATTTAAAGAGTATTTCCATACTAGGTTTCAACCCAAAAGACCAAAACCCCAACAAAAGACATCTGTTTGAGTTGCTAAAGTTTTTATATAGATACAAAATTACTTCATTTTCAGTACTCCTATTTGCTATGAATTAAGCTATGAACTATCATATCAATATGATAAGAAACATTTCAAAAGATTTTTTCAAGATATATCTGCAACTTTCCATTTAGACCCTGACAATTAAAATCACTTTTTACAGAGGAATCTTACCTTTAATAAGAAGTTTAGTGTCACTGCCACTGTAAGTACCAAATAAATGTACATTACTTTCAGCAATCTTGACATAAATGTACCTTTTTTCATATTCATCTGCAAAAATATTTTAAGAATGCTGTATCATTTGGAGTTCAGTTTAAATTTTCAAACTACACCCAGAGGAGGGTCTAGTTACCTGAAGGCATTTAGAGAGCATTAAAGCTGCTACGAAACTGAGTAATGGTGACACTAATAAGGCTGAATTTTCAAACTGCAGAAGGTACCCCAAGAAGAGAGAAAACAGGTAGATTTTGTATACTTCATGCACCTGTTGAAGAAAAGAAATAAACCATAATAAAACAAAACTATAGTGGATATACATCTTGCTTTTTAGAGCAGTAGCTCATTTCTCTGTTAATGAGGGGACTAATGGATGTGGATCCTCCAGCTCGAGTCTACAGGGTACCATTTGGCTCTGGAAACTATTTCACATCTAAACGATACTGGTCAGCCTCAGTAACTAGTGCACAATTACTTCACAAGAACTCTGTAAAAATGCCAGAAGTGGGAGTATTTTACCATGTCTCCCCATTCTGTAACACCTTGCTGTGATGCAGCATGAAGCAGTAACCACAATGCACCAGTAAGAACACAATCTGTGTGACAGAGCTGACTCCTGCAAACAGGTGCTTTCCTTGCCCTCAAAATAACTTGTTCATTGACATTCATTCGGGAGTACTCAGATTGTTACTGATACTTTCTGTTATTTACTATTTGATAAGCAGATCTTATATATCAAGCATTTCCCACTGCTGAGGAACAGAAAAAAAAAAGGTAACTGAAAGAAGGGGTGACGAATTAGAATTGCGTGCAGATGGATATCTAATAAAAGTAGAAGGCACACATGTACAAAAGAGCATATATACCTGTTGCATTTTATTCTGCAACAGGCAGAATTAAAATGCCTTATTGTTGCAACATTTCTAAGAACCATTTTGCAGAATAAATTCAAATACTTTCTAGTATTGAAAAATCAATTGGCCTTCAGCATCTGTCTAGTCTATTTTTATTGTCTAAATCAGTGCAAGGTGGGCCATTCGGGGTGAAAACGAGCCCTTTAACTCCATAGAGCCAACAGAGCACTTTTTTGGTCTGCCCCACCCTGCCGTGATTAGGGGAAAGTAAGGAAGAGGCAGCCAGGCCAAAATGGAGTATCATTCATCACTCTTTTAGCTCTCCAAGGATGTTTCACGTCTCAGAAGCTTTGTTTAGCTTCTGACCCTTTTGTTAGGAAAGCTGTCCCAAAACAAGTAGACCAAAAGAGACTCAGTTTAAAGCTATCTTATTCTTCTGATGACATGTGCTTCAGCTGGGTCCAAGCTGCAAGACACTCGCCCCTCAGTCTGTGCCCTCTGGAGTCTTGAACAGTTTGTATGACAGGCACCTCAGAGGCTGTGTATAAGTCCCCAACTATCAGTGGGTTGAAAAGTTTCAATACCTTCTCTGTCTGTGCCAGGGCAAAGCTGTCTAGCAGGAAAAGAGAAATAGCCTGCACAAACAGGAGATAATGACTATATTCCCACATCATCATGAAGGTATATGTTGAAGCATTCACCAAAAGATAACAAAACTTCTAGGAAAAAAAAGAAAAACAAGAAAAAGCATTAATTTTGTACCTATGTATCTCTGTCACTAAGTAACTAGGAGGTCATTAAAACATTAACTATGGAAATTAATTATTATTTTAAAAAATAATTAAAATACTGACTTTAACTGTATTCAACATGTTCTCAGTTGGAAGAAATTAATTACTGAAACATTCAAAAACATTTAAAGTCAACCAGAAGAAACATCATTGACAGAGAGACAGGGTAATGAAGTAAACCCCATCTTCTCCAAGCAACAGTAAAAGCAACAAAACAGTTTACACAGTGAAAAAAATTCTGCATCAATTTATTTAAAAAAGGACAGACAGCACATAGCTCATTACGACATTGTTCTCTCTGAACCCTCACGGGGGCACAGCAGGGCAGGGCACAAGTCACCTAGCAAAAACTGCTAGGTGAAATCCAAGTGACTGTTTTGAAAAGAACAAACAAAGCATCTACTGTTTTCTGCCTAGAAAGGCAACAGTGGCAGAGGTAACTACCCTAGAGCACAGTTCTACCAGCAACTCTTTGTTAAGAAACTAATTTTGCTTTACCTCAGCAGAACAATTTAGGTTTTTTTTTAAATAGCCTGTGAGAGCTGCTACTTGACATGCAAAATATGGCAAAGCCCAATTTTCCCTTGATGGTATGGAGTAATCAATTCTTGTTGTATCTGTCCTAGAATAAAGTACAGAGAAACAAAATTATTAAAATATTTATGGAGCAAAGATATCAAGGAAAGCCTAAACGTCACTTCTAGCCATCAGTGTGGCCTTGTAAGCAAACTTTTCCCGGTTTTGGTGTGAAGTAACACTGACACAATTTCACCACAGATACAGGTCACACATTTAATAACAGCACGGAAGGCCCAACCTTTACTCATCTATTCAGCAGGTCTCCTTATTAGGTGGCATTTATAGCACTGAAGCCAAAAAGCATCTGCCTCCAGCTTTTTCTGACCTGCCTCAACACTTCCAAGTGGGATGTGTCACACACTGCTTCTGCCAACCTGCATAGGGACAACTGAGGAGTGCTAAATGCTCTTATGTCCCCCAGGCAGGGAACCGCTGCCCTGGCAGCAGCTTTTCACATTGCAGTGAAAATCAGCTCACAGCTGAGAGAAAAGACTCCTTTCAGTTCTCATACAGTATGTTTTAAACAAGTGATTCAGGTGGTTGAGCACAACTTAGAATACAAACTGGTGCTCCCTCATAGCAGCAGCAGCAGCAGCAGATATTTTGTCTACAGGGAAAATTCTGCCCAGCAAAACAAGAGATTAAAGACGGATGAGGAGCATGCAGGGTTTTCCCATGGAATGACTTGACAGTATCCACATAATTAGAGGTGTAGGTGAAAGTTTTAAAAAGTGCTAAAGTGACTTAGAAGCACAAGTAACGGTTTCAAAAGTGATCAAAGGCATCAGCTTCAGAGGTACATAGTCTTCTTTGTGTCTACTGTGCCTTTAAAAGGAAGCCTTAAGCTCCTTTATCATTTAGATATTTGAAAGCTTCGCCTTTCATTTTTTCCTCTGAAGCCTCTTACAGAGGTGTATTTGGAGCTTTTCTAACTACTAGATCTTTCACTTTGTTAACATTGTTTAATCTTCTTTGCTGTTGAAAAAATTACAGATTTATTCACCATTTTTCCTACTTTCCACTGTTTACACAAGCGTAATGAACACTATTCTTAGCTACTAATCACAGATTCGGTCATGATGACTTCACACTCCTTGAAGATGCTTCCCAACAGTTCAACTTTAAAGATATATCTACAACACTTTGCTCCTCCATAGTTCTTTTATTTCAAGTGCTCTCAAGTTCACAGAAAGCCCCAGAGCTACTTGGTGAACAAACCAGGAGCCTGAACATAGGTTCTCATTGCCCAAATGAGGCTCCCTATTATTGCGGTGCTTCATAAGGGGAAGGGACATTTTCTTCCAAGTGAATTGTTTTAAAATAAAAAAATCTTGAGGTCAAGATCATCCGAGAAGATTCCACTTTACAGAAAAATCCACTACAAAAAGAATATTAAAAAAATCAAATATTATTTGCAAGAAAAATGCACTTGGATCATTTCCTTCTAAGCAACAGGACAACCATCACAATATTTACAACTGGTCAGAGAGAGCAATTCTGTTTACAGCTGTTTTGGACATTTGTTTTCATTCTTCACCAGCACAAAACCAAAACCTTCTGGGGAATGTTTTTGACAAATGAAATCGTGTGTGCACACTCCTGTATTCACACACATACATAAAGTCAGTTCAACTGGCAGCGTGGGTGGTTTGGACAACAAGGGGCCTTTCCATTAATAAAATCATCATGAGAATCAATCAACCTCTCAAAAACATTTTGTATTCAGCATAAGATCCTGCTCTCACAGTGAGAACACAAAGCTTAATAGAAAGCATTTCAATCCGGTCTAATATTTGAAAATGCCTTATTGACAAACTAGATTGTATAAAGATGTTTTTCTTACCTGTTAATAATGAACCATGCTACAGTCAGCATTCCTGCCAGCCAAGTCCCACTCATAACCCAACTGGTTACAAACAATGCAGTCACATAAATTCCCTGCAGTCCAAAAACTATACCAATGTAGAAATACACTGGTTCAATAACTTCCTGAAATTACAAATAAAAATGAAGAGACACAGTGGCAACTGAGCTGAAGCTGGAAATTATTACTATTTACTATTTGTTACTGCTAACAGTGTGCTAGGTGCTTTACAAACAGGTAAGAGATGTCTCCTAGAAAAGTATTGGGCATACTTATATTTGGGGCTCAGGAAGAACAAAGCAGTGTGAAATAAGCGCACCCTTCAGGACTCAGCTTGCTACTGCCATGAGTTTTGTATTTGCTTTAGCATGAACATTGTAGCTGTTATCAGATTTAATAAATCTATACTGCAGTGGGATATAAAGTTCACAGGACTACTGAAAGAAGTTATGTGGGGGAGGAACTTGGAGAAGTAAAGATGTGGCAAAAATGGTTCCAAAATAAATCAATAACAAAAAGAAAGATAAATGAGGGAGGACACAAGTATGCAGCATAAGCAGAACAAAGCCCGAGCAGAGCAGAAATTGACAAAAGGTTTATCCACGGAAGTGTTTTTCCCTAGGAGAATGGGCAGACAGGTACCACTATGACAGACTCCTGTACTCCAAAGGAGCTAACTTTCCTGTTTTTAATGGATAGCACAGACATTCCCCACATTTCTAAGCACTCTGTAGAAGCAAAGAATAACAGATAAATTTAATGCATACAAACCCCCAAAATCCTATGCCAGAGACTAATCAGAATTGAGGAGAACCTGGACGTGGTGAGAGGCTTAGCTCAGCTCATTCAGCAAAAAATGCACGTGTTCATTGTATACAGCATAGAAAGTCTCTCTCGCACACAGACACAACCATAATGAAAACACAGAAAGTAGGAGAAATGCACATACTTCGCTACCAGATGCTTGATATAAAACACTGGCAATCAACTCTGGGTACAAAGTCATTTGCTGGACTGCATTTATTGTCTTCAGTGATACTGTCTTATTGTTGTGTGTCAACTCATAAACACCTACAGACAAAAAAAAAATATTATTCTTAGAATCACTTACTATTGCTGTTCTTAAAGGAGGTCAAAGTGTATTCAAAGACGGGGGGAACAGACTTGATGATTAAAGCTACTAACTGATTCACCACACCTAATTTTAAAGGAAGGAGAAATTTCTGTGTCAGGTGCCATTCCACCCTACTGATCTAGCAACCATCTGAAGCACAGTCTTTCAGTAACGTACTGGTGCAGTCCTGGAACTACCTACTTACAGATCACCTTCACAGGAGGTTCTTAAGATGTGAGACAGATGTAACAGGGATGAGCAGGATGTATTAAACCCGTCTTCAGAAGGAGGTCAGGTATGACAGCCTCATCATCCTTTTCAGCCCCCATTTCTGAGGCTTCTAAGAATCATTTACTGAACACAATACGTCTTTCTATGGGGTTGAGATGAAATTGAAGCTGGCATACTTGAAGGACACATCATTCTAAAATGTTATATTTAAAGAAAAGACTTGTCAATACTTAGGACAATAGAGGGAAGATGAAAAACAATCCAAATCGCAGTGTGGGGGAGAACAAAAGCCTCAAAACCAATGCAACAGCCAAACCAGACAACTGTTTCCATCTCTGAGCATATCTTGGTGTGTAGGCTGCAATTGGGTTTCTGTAGGCCAAACCAGGTCTTGCAGGACTTATAACTGAGTGAGATAGGGCTGTTCACTCACTCTTCTCTCCTGAGCTCTTGCCTTTTCCCCATGCCAGGCCAGGTGCACTTCTGAACTCATGGAGCTAGCAAGTGCTCCTCCTTCTTTTCACTGCGTTAGTTTTCTGCTTGTTTAGGGACCTAGGATCAGTGAGCTCCAGAGCCAGTGCAGGATAACGAGTAGGAATGCAAAGGAAGGAGAGATCATTGCCACCCGGTCTGTTCTCCTTCCTGTCCCCTCACTCAGTCCTCATCAGCATCTATTCATCATAGCTGACAAGAGTAAAAACTTCTGGCAGGGACAGGATGGACCAGATCAGCTCGTGACAGAAACAGTTCCATCTTCTGACAGAGCATGGAAAACAGTACTTTTCACCCCCCATTCCAAAACCCAACATAAATTATGTTTGCATGGCAGAAAATCCACCATGTAGCACGGACAATCGCAGCGATAACTTTCATACAGGGCAATATGAGAACAATATTAACCCTGTACTAGAGTACTGATTAAAGGTAATCCGCTGGAATAGTTAAATACTGTTTACAGGATAGTTAAATACTGTTTTTTAAAAGGCACTGAAAAGTTAGGACAGCATGTGGCTTTTAATTAATCTGACTGATACACCTATATAAGAGCGTAAAATCAGTCCCCCCAGCCTGCAGGAGTTTTTTACTGTCTCCAAAAGGAACAGGACTTTTCAAAGTTAATAAAACAAATGAGTTTTGTACCTCTTTCAAAAGAAGGAGCCTTTAGCAGTTCTTTATAGAATGAGTAATAAATGGCACTGTCACCCTGAAATGTAATTTCTCGTTCAAGTTCCTAGAAAAAAAAAAATATTCACCTCCTGGAATCTCTTCTCAGAGAAGACTATATATTTTCAGATAGACTGGTTTTGTAATACAGGACATGGTTATGACTCCACTGTACATCTTCAAAGTACTCCACAAAACATTAATCTTCACAGCACTTCTGTCAGGTATATATTGCTCTCCATAACTTAGCAAACATGCTTGGAATCAGAGCAACTCAAATCCACATCGTAAGTTAGCACTAAATCCACAGGATCCTTTCATATTCAAAAACCTGAATGTCATTCAACTTTCCATACTTCACTAAATAACACAGTTCTTAAAAAAGACAAAATCCAAAAAAACAACTACAAAACCCCCCAAACCAAAAAAACAAACACAAAAAAAACCCCCAAACCAATGACAAAAAAAAAAAGCCCAACACATATTCCTATTGCTTAGCTTCTGCAATCCCAGTATGCTTCAGTTATTTCTCCAAATTTTAGAAAGATATTTCAATGATAAATGGTGGCATGGAAAAACGTACAAAAGCATGACAAGTCAAAACTAATGTTACCAGGAGAAATACTTCAACAAAAAAAAAGAAAGAAAGAAGATAAAAATAAAAAAAAGAAGAAAAAACTATATCAAAGACAGGTCTCAGTAGAAGGACATGGGATTCTGCAAGCAAGTAGTTCCAACCTGACAGGGATCAGCTTTGGTTTCAAGGACACAATTTGGCTTTTGTTTCAGTAGTTTAACTTTATCTTTACCTGCCTGCTGGAAAACCAGAACTTCCGTTCGTGATATGTTGAGAGGTACACAGCATACATCATTCCACTGGTCACTGCCGCCAGACAGCCAAAGAAAAGTTTTGCAAAACGCTGGATTAACATATCTGAAAAGGGACAGTAAGAAAGCTAAAATAGTCCAGAGGATTTAGAAAAAAACCCAGTATGCCCTACACATGACTGTCATTTCTGAACAGCAACTGAACTTACTGGAATCAGAATTAACACACCAGCAGCAGCACAGATGCATCGAAAACTGGTATGTTATTCCTGTCCTGCAGAGCTTTCTTTCCCAGTTGTTACCATTGCTTCACAGGACCCTCGGATAAAATACTCACAAACTACACTGTAAATTTTCTCTCCATTTCAGTAAGCTATGTTTTCAAATGAATTCCAAGAAGGAAAAGCATCTTTCACATAAACAGGGCAAACTCTAGATTCTACCTAAAACACCACAACCTTCTTAAAGACATTAACAGACAGAGGTGGCCGTACCATATCTAACCATTCCTGAGACATTCAATTTTCCATTCTGTTTTTAAATATAAGAAGAAGGAATTAATCTGAATTTTACCAAACTCATTCAACGGGCATGTACTTCACCTGTAGCTCCTTTTTAACATAGAAGTTTTTGGTAGTTTGGTGAGCACTTGCCTAAAATTATACTTGGTTTTAGTTCTCTTTCTTGAAAAGCTGTAAGGACTTTTTGTCTTCTTGTTTCAGTACCATTACTTCATGCCTCTCAGCTTCCCAAGCAAAAGATCATTCCAGGAGCAATAAATATATTTATTTGTATTCAAATAGTAACAACAGTAACATTGTTAACTCCTCTCCTTCTCCCCCCGGCCCCCAGCCTGAAACAGTCCAAGACTACCATTTCACTCCACAATAAATACAATGTCATTATTAAAGAATTCTAATGTGCATGCCTGTTTTCTCTTGAAACATTCAAAAACCTACTTCAAAATAAGTCTGTTATAAATTACTGTGCTACAAATATCTTCCCATAAAATGTAAATGAGTAATGAAAAAAAAAAATCAAAAGTCTGCTAAAAATTCTGTAGCTTACATTTTGGCGATCTTCCCAGCTTTGAGTTTTCTTTGTTTCTCTGCTCTGGAGCCATTTTGTCAGATTCTGAGCAGTTTTGTTTCTTTCTCTGTCGCAGGTCTGCTGCCCCTGAAGACATTTTTTTTAAGTTACTGCAACACAATACCTAAAATCTCACTCTGAGAAATCCACGCAGCAGCAGATAGCAGCCAGTTATTGCTATTGATTCAATCCCAAGGAAGATATATTTGACAAAGACTCAAAGTGTGTCATATGCTCAACTAAAATAACAATATCACCATATAGAAATCAATTTCTATGTTATTCCTTAGAAAAAAACAATAGTATTCTCTTGAGGTCATACTCTGGGGTTACCCAGAACCCAAAATGGAAGCTAACTGGTTTATTTCATGATGAATGTATTATACAAATGAAGGAAATCAGTAGTTTAGATAAGCTGATGCAGACACTGGGAGACATTGAGCAATTTCATTCTACTCTCATCCTGGTTTTACACAGTTGTAGCAGTGTGCAAGGCACACTACTGTAATACAAAAATTGCTCTACTCTATTACTTTTAAATTGAGCTGCCTATCATTCATAAGGCAAAAGTTTTTTTAAGTAAATATAATATCACTTTTCTCCTGCTTTCAGATCTACTGGAACTAAGTAGATTTATGAACATTTAGTCTAACATATAATTAAAAAGCCCAGCCTGCTCAGCTATACAGATCACATCACAAGATCAAGAGCTTCCTCGGCTTCTGTTAAGTTTTCTGTAAACAGTAGCAGTCTGAAGCTCTGATCCACTTATTTTACAGTCTGAAAGCTAATGAGGCTTATTCAGAGTGCAAGTCTACATACAAAAAGACTCATTGCAAAAAGTATTTTAAAATTATTGTATTAAAGATATCCCATAATATTTATGTCATTTTGGAAGGGTGATGAAAAGGTATAACTGTAACTCAGGCTCTAGAACTTTCAGCTCTCCCATTTGACCCACTGTACAACATTGCTTGAAATTTTGTAGCCACCAATTTATTCTGGACTTAAAGCAGCTCTTTCGTAAAGCCATCCAACTTCAAATTTGAAGTGTCAACCTTCACATCCCACAACAAAGCTTTTTATTACTCTGGCTGTATATTATTTCAAGTCTTAATTCAGTCTAATTTTACTCCCAACTATTGGATTTAAGAGTTAGAAACTAGAGATAGAAATATAAATTATTAAAGCAATGTCTGCCTGTATCAGGGTGTCTGTGTGTAAACAGAGCAATTTATAAATTATTCTCAGCAAATCAAGACCTCAATGATAACATTTTTCATGCAACGAACAAAAAATGTCTACCTTATTAAACAAGACAAGAACTGGAATGATTTTAAACAAAACAAGGATTAGGATGTTCAGTATCACATTTATCATTATGCCAATCCAGAATCAAATGTACACCAGTATCACTTCATGTCATGTGTATATATGTATATATATATGACGAACATCAAGTGCCCTGCAATTAAAAATCACTTGTACAATACAAAATAAAACAGGGTGGGGAGAAAACCCTGGATCACCAGAATGGGCAGATATGTGCTTGGAAGGACAACTGACTGCCCTTGTCATCCTAGTTATGACCAAAGCAACAGCACTGAGAACACTGAGGAAAATGCATTTCTTCTGCTTTTCTGGCAGAGAAGTAAGCCACAGTAGAAGTGTAACACACTTATAAAGTCTAGAGTTAGCAGCAGTAATAGAAAATTCCTAAAGAAAGAACAATTTAAAATTCTAATTTTGAAACAACTGCATCTCAGTCAGCAAATGATTTTCACTTCTGTTTTGAATGATGGCCAACAAATCCCCTCCACAAAGCAATAACACAGAAGGAGCCAAGTATGTTACTTTTGTTTTGTCTGCAGCTGCCTCAAACAAGAAAAATTTTGTTTTCACTTCTATGAATACCTTAAACGGCGTGAAATGAAAGTCAAACAAGGTGACAAATAAAAATTATCTAGAATTTTGAACTGATGGCACAACCTCTAGTAACTCTCTATCCAGCATGCAATTTTTCATCTGAGATTGCTTTCCAGTTCCCTGTAAGTTCAAAGTGTATTTTTTTTTCAAATCTTGTTCAGACAACATTTTTTATGTATCTACTGCAGAAAAGCATAACTCATTACTCCTGAATGCCACGATATTCATCTGGAATAACATAGGAATTTTTCACCTGAAAATTGAGCACTCTCTGCAATTCTTATCCTCTCACCTAAAGAAGGATAAGATAGAGTTGGGAAAAATTCAGAGAAGGGCCATGAGATGATCTAAGTTGGGCAATGGCTCCCATACAAGGAACAAGGAAACAAGTTGAGGATGCCTCAGTCTGGAAAAGAGAATGACCAACAGAAACATGCCAGATGTCTATGAGCCAGTGAAGTGCACCAACAGGCTGAATAGAGAGCAGTGATTCACCTTCTTTTCTAATACAAGAAGTTCTCAAATAAACCCAGTGAGTCAGGCTAAAAGGAACTAGCTCATTGCACATCACCTTCAGGTACACCACTCCTACTCAAAGAATGTTCTGTAAACCAAGAGCTTACACAGATCCAGGAGAAGACTGACACATTTGTGGAGGACAAATAACCAAAGACTACTAAACATGCAGTAACCACATCCAGCTCAGAAAGTACCCGAGCTGAGAACAGCTGGGACGCTGGAATATGCCATGGGACAGATTCGCATATGCTTGCTTTGCTCTTGTATTTCTCTGGGTGCCTGCTAACAGTTATGTTTCTGCTGATTTCCACAAGAAAAACTAAATGTCATCTCCTAGTCCCCACAAAGAGCATTAGGACAGAAGAGACCTCGAGAAAAATACTTGTGTGGAGGCTAAAAGTGAAACAGAATTACAGAATATCCTGAGGTGGAAAGGACCCAGAAGGATCACTGAGTCCAAACTCTGACCCTGCACAAGACAGCCCCAGGAGTCACACCATGTGCCTGAGAGTATTGTTCAAATACTTCTTGAACTGTGGCAGCCTTGGTGCTGTGGATTCCCTGGGGAGACTGTTCCAGTGCCCAACCATCTTCTAGGTGAAGGACCTTTTTCTAATATCCAACCTAAACCTCCCCTGACACAATTTCAGGCCGTTCCCTCGGGTCCTGTCACTGGTCACCACAGAGAAGAGATCAGTGCCTGCCCCTCCTCTTCCCCACACGAGGAAGTTGTAACTGCAGTGAGGTCTCCCCTCAGCTGAACAGACCAAGCGACCTCAGCTGCTCCTCATACGGCTTCCCCTCGAGGCCCTTCACCACCTTCATAGCCTTCCTTTGGACGCTCTCTAATGGCTTAACGAAACGACAGAGGAGACTGAAACACACGGAAGGATGCCAAAGAAAAAGCATACTCATGGAGGCATCCACGGAGCCCACAGATGCTGCCCCGGGAGTTCTGCCCACAGGCAGCACCGGGCGAGGGAGGAGAAAGATCTCACGAGCTCCTGGGCTCCCACCGGCCCGGCCTCCTCCCGCCTGGGGCTGCGAACCACGGGCTGCCCCTGGGGGCCCCGGGGGCCGCCGGGGACGGGCTGGAACCGGGCAGGCCCCTTGTGCCGTGCAGTCCCAGTGTCCCTCCCCTGTGCGCTGCCGCCGGCACGGGACTCGGCACGACGCGAGGGTGCGCGACACGCCCGCCGGCCTTGGGCCAGCGGCCTAGGCCCGGCCTCCGACCCCCTCCCACCCGGCCCGCTCGCCGGCCCTGAGGAGCCGCCCCCTCACCTTCCTCCATTCCCGGGGCCCGTGGCTGCCGCGCCCCTCCGCCATGGGTGCCCCCCGCCGCCTCTACGCGGGGCGTACGCCTCCGGCCCCGCCCCGTGCCGTTCCGCCCCGCCTCCCGCCGCCCGGCGGTGGGCGGAGGCGCTCCCGCATCGCCCCGGCGAGCGCGAGTCGGAGCGGAGCGGGCCCCGAGCGGCCCCGCGCTTCCCCTCGCCGCCGCCGGGCACTGCGGGCAGCGGAGCCAGGGCCACGCCCGAGCGCCGGCGGCGGCGCACCGGGCATCGGCGGGCACTGGGGGCGGGGTCGGGGCTGCCCCGAGGGGCTTTCGCGGTCGCCTCACGGGAGCCGCCTCGCAGCCTCCGAAAGCCGCATCCCACGGGCACCGCGGCGCAGGGCCCCGCCGCCCCCGCCGGCCAGCCCGGCTCCAGAGGGACCGTGGCCCTTCAGAGGGGCCGCGGGTCCCAAGTTAGCCCACAGAAGAGGAGGCTCGGGGGAGACCTTGTCACTCTGCAACCACCTGAAAGGAGGGTGCAGCCAGACGGAGGTTTGGTCTCTTCTCCCAGGGAACGAGTGACAGGACAAGAGGACACAGCCCCAGGCTGTACCAGAGGAGGTTCAGGTTGGACATCAGGGGGAACTTCTTCACAGAAAGGTTGATTAAGCATTGGAATGGGCTGCCCAGGGAGTCGCCGTGCCTGGAGGTGTTTAAGGAAAGGCTGGACGTGGTACTTAGTGCCACGGTCTAGTTGACACGGTGGTGTGTTCAGTCTGAGGTTGGACTCGATGATCTCAAAGGTCTCTTCGACCTGATCAATTCCGTGATTCTGTGAAATCAGGGCATTTCCAATGGATGTTTCTTGCTCGGCACCCTGCCTGCCCGCATGAAGAGCCTCCCTCCCGGGGAAGGGAGCCCTCCCTCGCTCCTGTACGGACACCAGTCCGGAAAGTCCCTGCCTAATGGCCAGCTAAAAGGGCCCGGTGAGAGGAGTGGGTGGTTGAGCCTTGAGGCACACCTGCTTTGGGCTCCTTTTTGCATCATGATGAACTACTGAAGCATAGTACCAGCATCCCACTGTCACAGAGGCTGTATGAATGCAGGAGAAAAGGATAATACGCCCAACCCCAATGAAGTTACAGGTTGCTTTTGGGAAAACAACAGAATCACAGAATCGATTAAGCTCGAAAAGATCTTTGAGATCATCCAGTTCCAACCTATAACTGAACACCACCATGTATGTCAACTAGATTTATGGCACTGTGTGCCACATCCAGTCTTTTCTTAAACACCCCCAGGAAAGGTGACTCCACGACCTCCCTGACCAGCCCATTCCAATGCTTAATCACCCTTTCTGTGAAGAAA